CCCCAAAACCCCAAAACCCCTTAATGTAAATATTTAGATGTATTCATAAACTAAGAATAATAAATTTAAGAATTATAGAGTTTCAGGAACAAAATTTTATGATTTCAAAAGCCTTAGTTATCTAGCCATATTTTTTAGGATCAAAGTTTCTCTATTAAGTACCAAATTTTATACCTTTAGCATTAAATATCTTCCTTTTTAGACTAACTAAAGCTTCCTCACTTTACTTGAATCTATCATGAATATCTGTTTTATTTATGCCTTTTTAATCCTGTTCAAAATAATCAATGTTTCTTTGGTTTGCTATTTGACTATTATGATTCTTCAAGACTTCATACATTTCTTCCTAGTTATGATCAATTGTATTGAATCTATTTTAAGTTAGAGAAATAATTTAGATTCCATTATTCGTATTTGCGTAAACATCACCCTGGATATTTGATTTCTAGTAATTTTTATTCGTATTCAATTCTTTTAATTGATTTCTTAGAGAGGCATTAATCTTCTATTAGCTTTCAATCTTTTCTATAAGATTGCCTTGCTTACTGATATACTTGCTGTTATTTTTAGAGAGTCGACTATTTCTTTTTTATTTAATTTCATCAAAGAACTTCTCTAAAGAAAGAGAGCTTTTAGTCATTTATTCTTTCTTCATGAATCTCTTGTCTGAATAATCTAAAGATTTATACACCTAGTCTTCAATTAACTTTAATTACTCCTTATTCCTTCTTTTATACCTTAAGATTTAATCTCTTATTGACTCTTAGTTTACATCAATAGATTGATAGGCAACTGGTCTAAATTACAATGAAATAAAATGTTGTTTTACAGATATTTTTTATATTCGAGTATTAATGGCTCTTTAAATCTTATTGCTCTAGGTATAACTGCTCTAGGTTCTTTTGTTTTGTAAATATCGACCTTTACTGGCTTTTTTATTAAATCTGCTGAATCATTCTCAAATTTGTTCTATATATTAAAATATCAATGAACTTACAACTAAGAGATCTTTAGAATGAAATAAGTTCTATGATGTTTTCAATCCAAATGAAAAGCATGGTTGATTTCTTTTGCTTGATAATTGAATATTTCTACCTGTTAAACTTTAAATTTCATATTCCCCAGGTCCAGTTTCACTTCTCAGATACGATTAAATTTTAGATTTACTTGATGTAGTCTAGTTCATTATTGACTTAAAGTTTCCTCCTGTAAGATATGCTCTTTCCTTCAAAGTCTAACTACCTATAATTAAACTGTTGTTAAGTTGATTTCTTTTCGAGCCACTGCCATCTTATGTAATTATCTGCCTCATTCTACGTTACTATTAAGTAGGAGAGCTCTTCTTTATTACTCTTAATTTTTTTAGAATTCCTTCAATATTATTCTATGAATCTTTTTAAGGAACATTTAGATCATTATGGGTTTTTATCTATTTTTCTTATTTCTCTTTTTAATCTTTAGACTCATATAAGATATAATCTAAGTCCTAATTTTGATAATCAAAATATCTTTCTTCATTAAGAAGATTAATACTTTTTTAATAAACTACATTTCTCTTTCCATTCCTAGTATTAGGGGAGAATGTAAAGGATCTTCCATCCTAATTCCATTATGAGGCTAATTCCAAATCTCTTTAGTTTCCTTCCATTAACAATATCAAATTAATATCCTAATTTTTATGTATTCTATTTTATCATGAATTATGGGGTTTTGGGGTTTTGGGGTTTTGGGGTTTTGGGG